AATTTAGCTAAAAATTACATCTAGTGTCGATTCTACGTCTCATGGAAGGCATTTTAACTAATTCGTTAAAATTGGAGTTCGTTTTTTCAAAAATCGAATACGAGTTTTAGGATTTTCCTCAAATGAATCTGATTTCTTGCGTGATTATAAAGTTTAAAGTGTAATGGATATGATGCTTAAGAGTAAAAGGTTTGAGCGAGAAGCTTAGCTAGTGGCAATGGGGATGTTGAAGGTAAGGGGAGATTGTAGTTGTGTAGATGGGAGAGGGCCCTTGTTCTTACTCAAGTTCATGTATTGTGACACGCGCAACCTCTCCTATAGCAAGCAATGGGTTGAAATAAAAGGCGTGGGTTACATTCTATAATTGAATGTTAACCTAGACTTCTCCCAACATTTTCCCATTACTTTTGATTTTGCTCAGTTGCCCTGGTGTTTCTTGCATTGATATAAACCTCTGTGCTGATCCATATGCAGTCTGATATGCTTAATGGGGATGGTGATGGCTCTGTTTTTCTTCCCGTTATTCATTTGTTTTCCTCAAACAAGTGTTGGATACTTAAAAATGGAATCTTTACCTCCTTTCTTCGATAGAATCTAGTAGTTTTTCATAGTAGAACCACCTAAAGAAATATATAATACCGCCGAGCTCAGTAACCCGGGCTTGTCACCTGAGTGGGGGCTTTAAAATGGTTGGAGATTGATTCGTTTCTGAAGGTTGGGCTATGGAGAGTTAGATGCTGGCCCACCCATTCCAAGAGGAGAGTTGAGCTTTGAGTCTTGAGTGTAAGCTTGGGGTGTAATGCTCTTAGAGCGGAGGGGACTGCGTAAGGCTGGAAACAGAGCAATGAAGACCTACAGCTCTCTTCAATGGAGGGATAATCGGCCGGTGCTTTCCAGACCCCGTAGTGCCTGATGGGCCAACCTCAATAAAGAAATATATAATATCTTCGTACTCAAAGAACTCCTTGATTGTGTGCTCTCTAATACTAAGTATTGCTTCAGAGGTTATTGTAGATACAGGCATTACTAAAACATCTTGCTCTATCAACGAGAGAATACCAATCTAGGACTGTTGACCTTCCACTACAAGAGTATATTAAACTTTCCAGTATCATTATCCTCCAATTGTTTTAGCGAATATTTATCCACTTCATTCTTACAAAATGTATTCATCCTTAAATTAACCTTTGATTTCTTATAATTCTCTTTAATGCGACCAACATATGTAACTTTCTTGTTCTTTCTGATATTCGAAGCAGTAGTAATGGAAGATGATTCTCCACCTACAGTATTGCCTTCTACAAAATTGTGGGTGTCTAGAATTTTCTGTGTTAATCATAAAGTTCATAAAGAAACTCGTTTTCTGTATTCAAAACTTCGTAAGCTTTCAGTTGATCATATAGTTTTAAAAGTAGCATTTAAAATTTCAAGTTATTCACTTGATCAAGAATATATGCAATGTAAACTAGCATATTCATCTCATCAATCTTCATCCTCATGCGTGTGCCTGTGTATGTATATATCAGTTATTTGTCATCCTTAAATTAATCTTTGATTTCTTATAATTCTCTTTAATGCGACCAACGTATGTAACTTTCTTGTTCTTTCTGATATTCGAAGCAGTAGTAATGGAAGATGACTCCACCTACTGTATTGCCTTCTACAAACTTGTGGGCGTATAGAATTTTCCGTGTTAATCATAAAGTTCATAAAGAAACTCGTTTTCTGTGTTCAAAACTTCGTAAGCTTTCACTTGATCATATAGTTTAAAAAGTAGCATTTAAAATTTCAAGTTATTCACTTGATCAAGCATATATGCAATGTAAACTAGCATGCATATTCATCTCATCAATCTTCATCCTCATGTGTGTGCCTGTGTGTGTATATATAAGTTATTTGTCATATTGGAGAGTTATATATGGAGAGTCATCTCATCAATCTTCATCCTCGTGTGTGTGTGTGTGTGTGTGAATTTTGTTGTGTTTGTTTACACTATATTATCATCATTTTTATCCTCCACAGCATATGTCGGATACAACTCAAGAATTTGAGAGAGTATATGAAGAAGATAGTTATTTGTCATATTGGAGAGTTACATGTGGTATTACTTTCCGTGTTTTTCCTATGTAAACGGCTATCTCCTTAATCATTCCGTAAGAAATGATGAACTCCACATACAAATAATGTTGCATAACATGCGACAAACATTTGCTAATCATCGGAGTGAGGTTAATAAGATGAGTATGCTAGTTATATTGCATATATCCTCGAGAAACTCGAACAAGGTATTAACATTTACTTATTTACGATACGTGTTCTTTGTTTATTTATTATGAACTTCAATTTTAGTTGTGGCTTCTAAGAATCAATGCAATATAGAATTCAACAATCTATATGAGTGACTATTAGGTTGAGCCAAGTTTGGTTGCTTGAGAGTGGAGACTATTACATTGAAGGGGAGAAAATGATGTAAGTTGAATATATATATATATATATATATAATTTCTAAAATATATAATAATTATTATCTATTCAGATTCTAAAATATAAACTATGTGTTGTATAATTTTTAAGTACATATATATATATATAATAGTTATCTATTTAAATTTTTTATAAATAAATAAAATTTTAATTGTAAGTAATTATAAATTATGCACTATATAATTAATTTTTATAATTATGTACAATAATATAATTATGTGTTGTATAATTATGTACATATATGGAGATTTTAATGTAGAAAAATTAAATTCCTTAATTTACATAATAATTTTATAGTGATTCATTATAGAAAATGATATATATATGTATATGTGTATATATATGGGATTTTATTTCAAAAGGGTGTATAGGAATGTCTTTGAATGGACAAATAAATTTAATTGATACCATCTAATTGGGAAATTAAGTTTCTATTTTAGTTTTGTATAAGTTCACTAGATATTATATTATGTTCATATAAAAATCATATATTTATCAAATAACATCAATTATAATATAATATAACATAATCTCTAAATAAGAACATATGATAATACAGTCTAATTTAAATCTACAATTTTTAGTAATTTGTGAATTAATTCTTAAAAATTTTACACTTCTTAAATATATATATATACACATGCATATATTAAATGAGTTTTATATTGTGAAACTATATAGTTCGATAAATATTAGAATATATAATATTTTTTTTAGAAAAAAAGTAAAAACTATGTATTTTTATAGTATACCTTAAACTTAAAAGTGTATTTTTTTTC